TGACTCCTTGGAATCCCCGCTCTCTAAAAACGAGATATGGACGGCCCTAATGCAAATGAAGGAGGAAAAGGCGCCCGGAATAGATGGCTTCCCTAAAGAGTTCTGGGAGACTACATGGGATTTTATGGGCCAAGATGTCATGAACTTCTATGGCGAAGTCTGGCATACAGAGGGAATGGGGGAACGGGTAGGACAAGGGGTACTCACCCTACTGTACAAAAAAGGGGACAAGATGGACAACAGAAATTATAGACCAATTACACTGCTTACAGTAGTGTATAAAATGTTGTCTAAAGCCCTGGCGAATAGACTGATCCCAGTAATGGAGGATATTATCCACCCTGCCCAAACCGGTTTCATGACAAACAGGAACATACAAGAAAATATCTTGTTAATCCATGAAATACTCCAGCTAACAAGACACTCACGTCAGAATGCGGCCTTAGTCTTTATTGACTTCGAAAAGGCATATGACCACGTGGACTGTTTTTTTTCTGGACAAATGCCTCGAAAAAAATGAACTTTGGACCAGACTTCAGACACTGGATACGAATCTTGCATCAAAATGCCACCACATGCGTACAAGTAAACGGAAGCCTGGCGCCTCCAATACGACTTCAACGGTCAGTACGCCAAGGGGATCCAATCGCTCCATTCCTCTTCCTCATTATCATGGAGGCATTGACTGCTAACCTCCGGGCAAATAAAAACATCACAAAAATCAAAATCACAAACATCCCGGAGGACGCAATCCCAGTATGTTCCTTGTTTACAGACGACCTCACAATAATGGTGGAGGCTACACACCGAAATATGGAAGAAATCCAACAAATGATGGACAAATTCGCGAGAATGTCTGACATGAAAGTGAACTGGGGGTCTAAGACACAAGGGTGGTGGATCCACTACCAGGGGGGACGACCTCCTGACACACCGCGCATAGCTTGGAAACCACCAGAAGCTCCGATCAGGATTCTGGGGGTATCTATGACTACAGAAGGGCGTCCCCCAATAAACGATGAATGGATCGGCACCCCGGCCCAGCACAAACTTTACAAGTGGAAAAACAAACACACCTCCCTATTCGGAAGAGCTTTGGTGCTCAATAATGTGATCTTTGCGACATTATGGTATAAATCCTTATTGTGGCCCCTGAGTAAAGAGGCGTTAAAGAGCTTAAGAAGAAAAGCAGCAGCCTTCCTATGGAGGGGGGATGGAGAACTAAACAACGTCATAAGTCGGGTGGCCTGGGACTCAATCATACAACAAAAAATAGTTGGACGCTTGGGCGTGATTGACCCCTACACACAAGCTCATGCGCTGCGTATAAAATGGATCAAGAAACTGATCTTCTCCCCTCATAATCCATGGAGTGTTCTAGCTTTGGAACACCTGGCCCGTCTGGCCCCAGCTACCCCCCACACGACTCACCCATTGACATGGTTGGAGGATCGGTTTTGGACAGTCCCACTCAAATTCCCACAAGACAGGGCAGAAGCGGAAAGAGGGAGGCAGAAGATGGACAGTTTCTGGCCATCCTTGCTACAAACCTGGCGCAGGCTCCCGCTTCCAGATAGGCCCCCCTCGGACCGATGGGAAGAAATCTTTCGACAACCCCTATTTGGGAACAGATGGGTAACCGATACGAGGGGATATGTGATGGTAAGTTCGCCCTCACCATGGAGGAGTTGGGTGAAAAACGGGATACAAAGAGTAGGAGATTTGTGGGACGAAGATAGGAAGGATTGGAAAACGGGGGAACAACTGCGAGGCCCCCTAAGGTATTGCCATCACATAGAAGAACTACTGGAACATATAATTGAAATTATCCCACTTGATTGGTATCGGACCCTCAAACGAGGACCCACATTGGAGGAGGGGGATTGGGTGGCAAATACGGGGTCCCCGCAAAGCCTTGGCTTGATCCATTTAGTATTACCACAAATAACCCTGGTTGAGGACTATACTATGACCAAAACTGGTTTTCTCCAAGGAAGCAGAGCTTTCTTTGTATGGAAAGATTGGTCATCACTCTACAGGATAAGGGTTATCGAAGAGAAGGGTCAAAAGGTGGCCTTTCAACCCGAGAAATCAATCAAAAACCTGCCCTTGGACCCGACGGAATGGATCTGGCAGCATCCGCAAAGGACAAGAGCCACGAGGGCCGCTAGAATCAGCCATACTAGTCACACCAGTCTCTATCAGATCTCGGTGAAGTCAGCCTATAGATTGCTCAGACCGAAGAGGCAGTTAAAGGACACAGTAAATGACAGATGGGCCAAACACCTGGATCTGGATCGATCCCTCCTGTTTCCAATAAAATGGTTTAGAGAACAAAAATCTAAACCAATGAAAATTTCCTCTCTTCAGTGGCAGATAGCTCATCGTTGTCTGCCAACAAACGACTGGCTGACAGACCGAACGAACCTCGAGCAAAGAGGGTTGCTGCTCCCATGGTGTCAGCGTTGTCTAACCCTCTTCCCCCCCTACAAAAAAGCGGAGACCATCGAACACATGTTCATGCAATGTCCGATCGCGTTGTTCATATGGAGATGGTGGGACCGCATTTGGCGGAAAATGATACCTGACATACCCTGGCCCTGTTCATGGCAAGCTATATCAGTCGGCCACTGGCCGCCAGTAGTGACCGCCACAACATTTGTAGAGAATATGTACAGATTAGGCAGGAGAGCGGTGATCTGGGCGCTGATTAGGTCTTTTTTTTTTTTCTTCTTGCGCTATGTGGACTCTGATTAGATTGACGAATTTGGAATCTGCGGGAACCCTAATTCGACTCTTTTTCTTGTGAGACTTTGGAATTGTTGGTGACTCTAATCAGAATTATTACTGGTGACCCTAATTAGGCAATTCTTTGAGGAGATTTTTGGTGTTTTTTGTTTGTCGGGATTTTGTTTTGTAGCGGTAATTATGTTTTTGATTTTCTTTTGGAATTGTGACAGTGGTTTTCTACAGGGGAGGAGCTCCACCCGACTAAGTGGGATTGGAGACCTTGCGACCCTTGTATTTGCAGCTCTCTGACATTGATTTCTTGCCTTGGGCACTGGGCCCTATTAAAACTGCTGTTCAAAATGGAAAAAAAAAAATCAAAAAAACGAATTATTAATTTATTAGTAAACAATGGAGGAAGATACCATAACTTTCACTCTAAAAGATTTTCATTCTTTCAAGAATTTCAAAGTGCATTCAGCAACATGGCCTGTGTGTGGTCCTTATTTTTCTTTGCTTCTTCAGGTTTGTTTTGGGGTATACAGTCACTGGGGTGCTGCAAACCCTCGCTCAGACCGCATGTTGTCAGGAACTATACCCCCTTAATTTTAAAGGGGGTAGACACTTTGGGCGTCGTTAGACACTCCTTACGAGCTCCTTGAGCCACAAGGAAAATTCCTTGTGGCTCCTAAGGGAATTTTGCGGCGTCGTTCCCCACGTCCTTGGGGACGTCCCCCCAGGACGTTTCCTTGTGGCCTGCCCACGACCATTTTCATACGAAAATACGCGGCCGCGGGCGAGGGTGTCCGTGGTCGAGCGTCCGGTGTCTGTGTGGGGACGGCGTGGTCAAGCAACACCCGGCGGGAAAGGGCATGAGGCAGGCCACGAAAAATAAAATAAAAAAAGGGACCTCTACGTTTGAAATTCAAAATTTGAAGTATGGTTGTGGTGACGACGAAGACGTTCGGCTTGCGGCGCGCATAGGGCGCAGGGCTGAATCGGCCTTAGCGGCGGCGTCCCTTCCGCCCACCTTCCCGTCAGTGCACATGCGTGCACCGGGTGCGTCCATCGTGAGCTTCTTCTCCACGTCGTTCGCGCCATCACACACATTTCTGCCAGGGGGATGGCATCCACAGAAAGGCAGCAGCTTCTCRGACCTCTCCTCGGGGGTTGAGCGGGTTACGTCTCTGGGGTGCGAGGATTGAGACGGTAGCGGAGAGACGTCATCCCTGTGGAGGTGGTGGCGATGGAGGGCAGGAGAGAGGGCGGACATGCTCTGCTGACACCGCTTGAGCGGGAAGCCTTGGCGGTGGCTGTGTCAACCGTTTTTCTTCGTCGTAAGCAGGAGAGGGCACTGGGACGAATGAAGGAGCAGTTGCGCGCGCGTAGAAGAAGGACGCTGATGCAAGTTGCGGATGATGGCCCCGACTATGTGAGGGAGGCTGTCATTGAGCTGTGCTACACGTTGGGTTGTGGAATCATTCCACGAGCGACACCGAGATGGTGGATCAAACGCAGGATGGGGGGGACGTGGGACTCCGAAGACCTTCGACAATGCGACGATGCCACGGATGACTACTTCAACGAGAAGCAGCCGAGGGAGCCTGCGGTACTGGTCGTCCATGAACTGCATGGTAGAGAGGGCAGCAATGCCACGCCTATTGTTGGACATCTAGCACACGACAGTGGAGAAGGCAAGAGTCTTGTCGGACGTGCAGCACTTGACGACGCACGTGGGAATATGACGCTCATGCAGAAACCTCTTCCATGGACGGACTGAAGGCGCTGCCAGGAAAACATATTTTCCCGACGACATTCCTCGAGTGCGGGAGACCGCATGATGCCAGCCGAAAACGACGACGCCACCTGATTGAGGCCCAACACCAACAGACTGGGTAGTCGTTGGGGGACTACCCAGACGTTGGAGGGCGGGGATGTCTGTGCTAACGCCGTTGGACCACATCTGGACCACCCAAGACCCGAAACTCTTCGTCGACACATGTCTTCCGCCACTCCGTGAATCACAGTTCCTTGAGCTCCAAGGGACCTCAGGAGGTCCCTTGGGGATAAGGAAATTTTGGTTGGGGCCACAAGGACGCCACAAGGAACTTTCCTTGTGGCGTTTTCGCATTTCTTTTCAATTTCGTCCCCAAGAACAGGTGGAACGAGCGCGTCCTTGTCGATTTCACGTCCCCGAGGAGTGTCTAACTATGCCCTAACTTGATAGTGCTCATGTGATTCCATGTGAAAACAACATCATTTTCATAGATTATATGACCATCCTGATTTTGTTACTTTTCTTCCTACTAAAGCATACTCGCACAGGGGTTTTTCAAGATGCATCTGATTGTAATTAAGGCCAGATTCAGCCGAGAAAGTCCCGCTGCAACTTGAAGTATTATGCCCGTATTCATCGAATTCCTCATGTGTACCTTGATAGGGGTGTCGTGAAACCGCAAAACAATATCATTCGCATCTATTGCATGACCATCTTGATGTGCTAACAACTTGGGCGAAGTCCCAACCACTGCAGCAAAAGGAAAGAAACAGTGAAGGAATGAAGTCGAAGGGTAACCTCTGCATTAGCAAAGGACAAATGAGTGAGCACTGTTGCCAGCCTGGAGGACATACTCGCAAATTTGAAAAAGAGAACAAGGCCTATATGCAACAATAAGTGAACATTTCATCATGGTGGTAGGGTCGAAGGCCAGTTCAGGGATCTCTCTTTCTATCTGGTGGCCCTTCAGAAGGGCTGAGGGGATGCGGCCTATAGACTTCTGGTAATTGGGGTACCGGCAGCACATCCCCTATGCTTAGCAGGGTCATCAATGCTGCAATGGCCCCTTTTTTGTAAGTAAACATTAATTAGGTGGGGAGGGCTAGCTCTTGCATTTATTATATGATCTATACTTATGGGACGTTGGATCCGGTTTCCAGCAGGTGAAGATTCTCACCAATATACTAGATCAGAGTTTTTCCTTTTTTGGAAAGAAAAAAGAAACAACAATAACCAAGCGCAATTTTATTGTTTCTGGCCGTAAGGGAGAAAAAGAAAACAATGAGCACATGTTTTCACAGTGTGGTTCTTCAATTGCCTAACACGGATTGCATGCCGTATCATCCATCATCTCTGATGTCGATTTGACAAACGTACGGAAAAAAAAAAAAAAAAAAAAAAAAAAGAGACTTGTTACTATTATTTTAATTTATTTATTATTTATTGCACTTTATACCCTATCATGGTGTTCCCCAAACATTCCATTAATTTACCACACAAGAGCACTGTGACAGCAGTGTCGAAGGCAAAGGCCCCGCTTGCTTGGATGCTTAGTTGAGGTCGTTGATCTCTCTCATGGGCTAACGGCAAGAACAAAGAATCCATGATGTAAGTAGAATTTTCAGCAGAGATGGAAACAGTCCAGTGCTCTTTACTAAAGAGAAAATAGGTAGATGAAGGTTCAATCTGGTCCTATGCGAGTCACCTGCCTGATGGCAGAATGATGCACGCTCGAAAGCTGAAACGATTAACAAATAGATCGAGGGTTCAAGTCCTCTCGGAATAGTATTTGAAGGTTTAAGGTATGCAAACTGCAGCTGCCAGCAGTGGTGTCAGCGCCAGGCACAGTAAGGGAACACAGGAACAAGAAAATGAGAGAGTACTACCGTCTTCACCTGAATAGAACGCCCGGTTCTTATAGCTGCATTTGGCACAACTTTCAGTCCAGATGCAGCGGTAATGACCGGGCGTTTTATTCGGGTGAAGAGGGTAGGAGTAATAGGAGGAGGAAGACAAATCTAAAGAATGTAAATAAGAAGAACAGGCAGAAGGAAGAAGAGAAAAGAGGGACTTAGAGACGCCATAACCAGGAAAAAGAAAAAGGGGGAGGAGGAGGAGAAGGAGCCCAGCCGGGTGGGGAAAGGGAGGGGAGTGGACGAGGAGGAGCAATAGTTTGATAAGTTGGGAAAAAATAAAGTAAGCTGATTACGAAGGATACTTGCCTGCACACGTTTGATAACTATTATGGAAATCGAAGTCGGGAATATAAGTCCTCAACTCGGCCATTCTCTATAACATCCAAATGCCGATGATGAAAGGGATATAATCATGAATCCATGGCCGCAAGTCAAAACAAAAATTTGAAGCACTTTTTTTTGTTAGCCTGCAGTGTTGTTAAATACTATTCGAAGTCCGGCAACAAGGTGTCTTATCAACGCCCCTAGCACCCCAAGGGATGTTGAAAAAAAAAGAAAAAAGAAAAAAAAAGTCCGGCAACAACAAAACTAAGGTAAAAGAAATGAAACAATCTGCTAGCAACCTGGTTGCGTTCGCCAGCGAACGCAAAAAACTAAGGTAAAAGAAATGAAACAATCTGCTAGCAACCTGGTTGCGTTCGCCAGCGAACGCGAAAGAGCTCCGAAAATAGGCGAACACGAACAGTTTCTTTTTTTTTTTGGGGGGGGGGGGGGGGGGGGGGGGGGGGGGGGGGGGGGGGGGGAGGGTTCTCTCTTCAATTGTGCTGCGCCCCGCCAGCTCCACCCCATCCTCCCCGACAGACTCGGTCACAGTCTGTTGGGCAGCACACACAGACTGTGACAGACAGCCTGTCTGTTGGGGGGCGACGGGGTGGAGTTCGTGGGGGCAGCACCATTGCAGTCTGTGACAGGCAGCCAGTCTATGTGACAGAGTCTGTCACAGTCTATCACAGTCTCGTGGGCAGATTATGTGACAGACAGTCTGTCACAATTTATGTGACAGAGTCTGTCACATCTATGTCACAGGCAATCTGTCACAATCTGGTGGGCAGCACACAGAGTGTGACAGAGTCTGTGTGCCCCCTACCCGACGGACTC